CTGCATTTCCTCGGGGTTGCTGTTATCTGGAGAAACACATGTTACATATGTTATTTTTCACAATGCACTGGTAAATGTAATTGCAGTTTGTTTTTACTTTATTTTCCCCAAGTTTTCATTCATTGTAACAACATAGTGCAATAACAATAAAATAAGCTTAAAAATGAAGGAAATTACCTAGAAATCTGCCTACAAAAGCAAGTGTTTTTATTTTCTGTGTTTCTTCCCAGGAATTATCTATATGCTGGCAATGCAGTTCTAATGCTGCTTCCCAGAATGGAAGATTTGGAAGAAAGACAGAGGCCTGCTTCTAAAAACTGTCAGACACTGACCACATATCTTAAAATCCTGAGTGTCAGTTTCCTTATATTTCAAACTTTAAAAATGGACTAGTTGGCTTTTTAACAGCTTCTTCCAGTTCTAAAACGATTTGCTTCTGTGCTTGCAACAGAATGAGTTTTACTTGGAAGCATCATGTTTGGAAAACTGGAAATTTTTAAAAGCTGAGAGAATTGTACTGGCAAGTAAATATTGCAATTAGCAATACCACAAACAAAAGACAGGAGGAGAGACTGAAATTCAATAGTGACCTTTTGATAAACATACTTTAAAATAACTACTCTTTTTGTTCTAAGTTCTATAACTTCTCAAACTTGTTTACAAGGCTTAAAGTTTTTCAAGCTGCATCGTAACCTCCTGTAATGAAAACAAAACAAAACCCTCCATTAACCACAGAAGTATCTATTAAATGTCGATGATGTTCCTCCTTTTAAGATTCTGTGGTTGCCTGCCATCGTGTTTGGAATGGTACTGGACCAAAATGGCTATTTTCCCTTCACTGGCCAGTTGTTGAAGGCATACTTTTCTTTTGCCTGTTTTTGCTACTACTGTGAACCAAGCTATTCTGGAAATAAGCATGAGACATTAATAAAAAAAATAAAAAAAGATGAAAATAACAGTTGGTAGAAACCTTTCAAGTGCTTTTGCAGGCAGCTGAGTGTTTGCTCTCCCTAGCAATTTGGAGAGAATCTGTGTTTAAGTAGATGGATCACAGACCTGTTACAGAGTACAGTATAGTCAGTGAACATGTGCTAAGACCCGTGGACTGCAAGACTTTCTACATGCTAGGCAGAAAGCCTGGAAAATACTGTTATTCTGCCCACTTGAGAATTAATTATACACTGGCAGTCCTTCCTTTGCACAATACTTTAAAAAAAAAAGCTTTTACTTATTTTCATTTTATCTTCAAGGCAAAGAGAGAAAGACTGGCAGATGGACACACATAGACCTTCCACCCTCTGGTTCACTCCTCAGATGCCTGCAACTGTCAGAGCTGGAGCAAACTAAAGCCAGGATCCCAGAATTCAATTCAAGTCTCCCAGATGGGTGACAGGACCCAAGTACTTGAACCATCACTGATTGCGTCTCTGGGTGTGCACCAGCAGGAAGCTGGATCAGAAGCTGAGGATCTGGGATTCAAAGTAGTCACTCCAGTAAGGGATACAAGTGCCCCACAGTGCATTTTAACAGCTGCACCAGATGTCTGCCCCATGCAACCCTCTGTTAATTGAAATGTGTGTACCCCAGAATCTTGTCTTTCCTTTGAGGGTTCACTATTAATGCAGATTAAATCTCAGGGACCACAGAATTGTACAAATAGGCTGTGGTTCCAATGTGCACATACTTTGTTATACACAGTACTGTTATAAAGTATGGACTATCATATTACAACGTGGGTTTTCAAGTTCTATTTCAAACCCCATGAACTTGTAGGATTGGTGTATGTGCAAGGCTTACCACTGTCACCGTTGGGTTCAGAGATGGAAGGTATGCACAGAGAACAAACAGCATAGTGAGAGTCACTGTGGTTGTATTACCAAGCATTGCTCTCTGTCTTCACATATGGGCTCTGGCAATTTTTTGATGCTCTGGTGCTTTTGGAGTTTTCAATGAGACATTTTGCAATTGAATAAAGTTGATGATTATGGCAATATAAGAAATGATATGATGCTATAAATTGTAAGTGCACTATAACTGAAATGCCTGCTTGGAGGACTGTGTTGAGAAGCATTCTGGGGCTGCATCTGGAGTCCATGGGGAAATGTGCCCTAGTTGGGGAGTTATATAAGATATTTCAGCTTGTGGAAAAATGGAATTAAAAGATAAGTTTATTTTGGCGCAAAAATGCTTGAAGTCAAGTCACAGTTTTTCATAACACGTTTTCTATGAACTTTCTGATGACCCATATTATGCAAGGATTTCAAAATATTTTGCAGCAAAATAAATTTATCTTTCAATTTAATTTTCCATAAAATGTGTGTGCAAGTGCACTCATACATACATGTGTATGCATACTCTTGTATATTCTATTGACTGGAGAGCAAAACAGTGGGAAATTATAAGTTAAGGAGCATCTGTGCATGCATAGAAAACTTCTAGAATTATGTACCCACAAAAAGGAGACTATTGACACAACTGTTTTTCAGAGGCCTCTGCTTGCCCAGGCAAGAGGAAAATGTAATTTTCATTATTTGCTCATTGAAGTGATTGTTTTTTGCTTTTACTATGAGCATGAATTCTTTTTGACAATTTTTTTTTTTTTTTGACAGGCAGAGTGGACAGTGAGAGAGAGAGAGAGAAAGGTCTTCCTTTTGCCATTGGTTCACCCTCCAATGGCCGCCTCGGCTGGCGCACGGAGGAGCCAGGTACTTCTCCTGGTCTCCCATGGGGTGCAGGGCCCAAGCACTTGGGCCATCCTCCACTGCACTCCCTGGCCAGAGCAGAGAGCTGGCCTGGAAGAGGGGCAACCGGGACAGAATCTGGCGCCCCGACCGGGACTAGAACCCGGTGTGCTGGCGCCGCAAGGCAGAGGATTAGCCTACTGAGCTGCAGTGCTGGCTCTTTTTGACAAATTTTTAAAAATTAATCTCTCATTATTAACCTCAGAAAGCTAAGGCAGTATAGACCCTATCTAGAATGTTAATATAAAATAAGCTATTAGAAATTTGGGAAATGAGAAAAATGCCATCATTAAGATAAAAAAGAACTAAGCAGGTGGTGTAGAAAATTAACTAGGTGAAGACAAAATTCAAAATCTAAAACCTTCCACTGTAAATTTTCACAGAATGTATACAAATTAGCAAAGAAGTAGAATAAATACAAGAAAAAGTGTAAAAATGTAGACATTCCATTATCAGTCTAATAGGAGCTCTGTTAGAAGACAATAAACATCAATGCAGAAGAAAAATATTTAAAGAGTTCATGGCTGACAAGTTGCCTTAGTTTCAGATTGGAAGGAGCATTATTAATGCCAAACAGTTTGGGCAAAACAACATCTTCACTTAGATACCCTCCAGTGCAAATGAAAACCCACACTAGCAGGGTAAACACTGGGGTCTTTCAAAAAGTAAGAGAATTTTTTTAGCCCTAAAGGGACGAAAATCAGCATGATGTATGGATGCTCATAAAAAACAGGGGGTACTGGAGACAATGGAGTGATATAGTCATGCTTTTTTGTTGGTTTGTTTTTAAAGAAAAGGATTCTTACTTAGTACCTGGGGACCAGTATCTTCTTAACCTACACATTTGCCTTTAGCATTGGCAAGTGTGAAGTCAGGTGTCTACCCCATGCAATTTCAGTTATTGAAGAGTTCACTTTAAAAAACACAGCAATATACATGTACATACATACACATATATACAGCTAACTATTAACAGAAGAAGAGCAAGGGCACTTAAAAGGCAGAATAGTTCTTATTTTGCTTTTTTAAAATTAGTGGTCCCTAAAAGTACTCTTTGTGGCAGTTATAAAAGAACTCAGACTTTATTCAGGCTTTTAAGTACTCAATGGATGATTCAGTGTGCACACAGTGTACCTATGGTTACTGACCAATTTATTCTTGGAGAAAAGAGCTTCTCAAGACTTTGTTGACCCAGCTTGTCAACAGCAGTGTGTCGGTGACCTTCCCACGGACATATTTGAAAGTAACGTGGCATATGGAGAGACGGTCCAGATCAGCAACTTCTATTTAGAATTTTCCAATGATTCAGAAGAACTACTTGCTAGATTGACTCCATAGTATAGTGAATAATTAATTCACAGAAACATTTCAGCGCAGTGCTACTGGTGATTACTTGAAATCATGCCTAAAGTATAATGTAACTGCTCAAAATAGCAAAAACAATAATAATACCTTCAAATTATCAGGTCTCCTTTTTTTAAGATTTTATTTATTTATTTGACAGGTAGAGTTACAGACAGTGAGAGAGAGAGAGAGAAAGGTCTTCCTTCCATTGGTTCACTCCCCAAATGCCCGCAATGGCTGGAGCTGCGCCAATCCAAAGCCAGGAGTCAGGTGCTTCCTCCCAGTCTTCCATGTGGGTGCAGGGGCCCAAGCACTTGGGTCACATTCTACTGCTTTCCCAGGCCTTAGCAAAGAGCTGGTTGGAAGAGTAGCAGCAGGGACTAGAACCGGCGCCCATATAGGATGCTGGTGCTGCAGGCGGAGGGTTAACCTACTACGCCATGGCGCCGGACCCTAATTATCATAAATTTTTCCAGTGCCCTTGTTTTTCCAATAAAGACAGCCGTTACCAAGCCTCTTCATGCCTGCTAGGAAAAAGGCCATCTGTGGTGTTGAACTTGTCTGTTTGTGTGTACTTTTTGGACTGTGAAACAATGTTGACTCTCAAGCCTGTAGAGGAACACACTGTTGTAACAAAATTCCCATTTCCTACCACCTATCCTAAGGTGTCAGCTTAATGTTATCAAGTAGCCATGAGGGTGTATTAATAGAGAAGCAGTTCTGAGTGATCATATCAATGATCACTTCACACAAAGCGACAGAGGTGAAAATCTTCCAGATTCTCATCTATTGTCAATATTTTAGTAGTGATCGTAATCTTTTGAAAACATGCTGCATGTTTTATCAGGAAGTAGTAACACACCCTTGATTGCATTACCACATAGATCATGCTAGTTCCTTTCTCTCATTTCTTAGGTTTGCATAATGTTCCCCAAGATTGGAAAAATAACAGTAAATGCCAGGGCAGTCCCTATGTGTATTGGAAACAGGTTCTTGGTGAAGCCACCACATTGAATGTAAGTGAACACCATGGGGCAGGATGGTGGGGTTGTTTCTTGATTGTGAAAGGCCAAGTTCAAAGATGTATTAGCTCCAACTCAGATCTTTCTCTAAAAGACAACATTTAAGTTTTAAAAGTATATTTATTTATGAGAAATAGAGAAAGAGAAATTGACTAAAGAGCTTCCACCTGCTGGTTCACTCCCTAAATTCCTATGACAGTTAGGACTGTGCCAGGCTGAAGCCAAGAGATGGGAACTCAATCCAAGTCTCCCACATGGGTGGCAAGAACCCAATTATTCAAGCCCTCACTGCCACCTCACAGTGTCTGCAATAGCAGGAAGCTGGAACAAGGAGTCAGTAGCTGCAGATGGGTTTCGAAGACTGGTTCTCAGATGTGGGAATCAGGCATCATAACTGCTAGGCTCACTGTTCACTCTTCCATCTCAAATTCTGATGACTGTATCTCTCTGCCAATTACATGGAACTCTGGAGTGTGTCACCATAGTCACTGAAAGTGGGTCACTCATTATATATGCAGGTTTTGAGGGATATTTTTGGCCAAAAACTTATATGATCTTTCACCACCTGATTTTTCTCATTGCCCTGAAGTCAAGTGCTATACAGTTGGTGATTAGCTGATCAAATTTATATTCTTGTTCAGTGTACACTTTTATATAATAACAGAAGTTGATCATGCTGAGATAATAACAGAGCAGTTCCTCAAATGTGTTTTTATTGCCCTCACTTATACTTTCGGTGTAAATGTGCATATTTTTTCCATGTATCACATTTAAAACAGCTGAGTTGAAATATATTTCATAGAACATACATTCACCTTGTAAAAGCATGCAATTGAATACTTTTTAGTATATTCACAGATATGTGTAAGTATCACCAAATTCAATTTTAAAACATTTCATTGCCTTTAATTATCAATCCCTGTCACACGCTTCCTTCCAGCCCTGAGCAACGAGAATCTACCTTGTCTATGTGTAGACTTCCCTGTTCTGGGCAATTCATATAGCATTTTGCAGTATGTGGACTTTTGTAACTATTTTCTTCCCCTTGGCATCAGTTCAAGGTCCATCCACATTGTAGCATGCACCAGCACTTCACTGTTCACTATGGTTGAATAATACTATGTTTTGTTGTTTCATTTATCAGTTGGTGGACATTAATGTTTCTATATTTGGGATATAATGAATAAAGCTACTAAGATATTTATATTCAGCCATTTCGTGTGCATGTATTTTCATTTATTTGGGATACATAACCTAGAACGGGGTCATATTGTTGGGTTGTATGGTAACTATTGTTTATCCTTTTGAACAACTGCCAACTTGTTTTCCAAAGTGGTTGCAGTGTTTTTATTTTCACTGAAAGTGTGTGAAGGTTCTGACTACTCCACATTCTTATCTATACCTATTAGGATCTTCCTTTTTAATTCAAATAACTTTATTGGATATGAAATGATATTTCACTGTGGATTGCAAGTGGAGCAGCAGGGACTTGAACCGATGCCCATATGGGATGCTGGCACCACAGGTGGTGGCATTACCTGCTACTCCACTACACCGTAGCACTAGTCTCTCTGCATTATCTTTTAATTGTATTCCACACAAACATTTTAAAGTCCCTTGTATGTTTATATATCTTAGTACTTCAAAAATTCTATGGGAAAATGAAATTAAGAGATAACTTTATTTTGGTGCAAAAAGTATTAAAATCCATATATGGTTTTTATGGTATATATTTTCCACAAATTTTTAAGGCTCTGCATATGCAAAGATATATGTGTATGTATATATATGTGTGTATATAGATATAACTGTGTATATAGATATAGCTATATATAAGAAAATTTCTGAGGCATCCTAAATTTAATTATAGGAGCCAGAAGTAGGAAGAGATGAGAGAAGTTAATCAGTTGACAGCTACAAGTCCAAACCAAGACTTCTCTACTTTCCTGAATGCGTATTGAATCTTTAACTTAAACCCCCTAGTGGCCAATGGCCCAGACACCAGTGCTTCCTGTTTAGATACAAACTTCCAGGATTGCTAACCCCAACTAATTCAGAACAAGCAATCTCTTCTTATGCACTGTCCTCCTATCCCCAAACCTCCCTCACTTGGTTTCATCCTGTCCCTCTTTCTATTGCCAATGAAAGTTCAATGTGAAGAGTTCATGCATTACTTCCCAAACTTTTATTATAAAAACGCTCTGAACTCTAAGGTTCAGCACACATATTTCCAGGTGTTACCTAGCTTTGGTGCTGGCAGTTGTGGGACTTGTCCCAGGACCCTTTCCTTTTCTGGCATCTATAACAGCTCCATAAACCCTTTTGTTTCAGAAAAGAGTTTTGGGGCATGTGTGTATGTTCCATTTGTTTTGTTTCTCTGGAGAGCCTTCAGCATAGTTCACCTGTACAGTTCATCTTGTCTCTTGAAACTGTTTGCCAATGATTTAAATGGACTGCCCAAGTATGCAATAGGAAAGTAGTACCTTATGGTCAAAATGTAACAAAAAATAGTTTCTGTGGTCAGAAATGCAGCTCCAAATATTTTGTACCCCCTTTTCTGTTCGAATTCGAGTGTTCTTATACTGTTTCCCTCCACCAAAATAGTAGAAACATCTGTGTCTCCTCCCTCCCCAGTGCAACACTTTATGAGTCCCAGATTTACAAATAGTATCGTTTACATGCAGTAAACCTTACTCTTCGTCTTATTAATTACTTTCCATCAACTTATCCCCCAGGATTTTGGTTACAAAAGCATGTGATAATCAACAGTAATGGTTTTAAGTTATTTATTTGATAAGTAGATCCCTTTGCAAGGAGTGTCTTGTTAATTATGTAAAGAAGTATGTCATGAGGAGATGTTGCTTGTTTTCTTGTGTTAAGTCATATTCATTTACTTCCTCATAATTATTTCTCTCCCCTTCTCTCTTCTCACCTGTCTACAGAGTTTTTAGAAATCTAAGATGTAGACCCTAGGTTGTTCCACATGGTAAATTCATCCCAAGTATTAGATCAGGCCCTGATCTTTAAGACTTAGTTATTCTATGCACATTTCTCTGTCATTATGTAGAAGGGGAAAAAAAGAATACCATTTCAGAGATCTTTTAGATTGTATTCTCCCTGCATCTCAGTTTCTGAGGAAGATGATGATTAATGAATCACAAAAATGCACATGATCAGAAGTTCACATGGGGAAAAGGTAAAATGAGAAACCTTCTATTCAAAGGTTGTGGGGAAATGATGTGTGAAATTGTTGACAAATTGCCTTCATTAAGATTTTGAAGTGGACGTTTTTTCATAAACTTGGCTTCTTTTCAAGTATAACTGTGCAGCTTTTTAAGACATTCATTGTAGAGTCACAATCTGCAGTAAAGTTTGTCCTTGAAAACATTTGTGCTAAGAAAAGTTATAGTTTAAAGTAGAGTTCTCCTTGAGAGTATTTCCATGGACAACACTCACTTTTGAGCAAAGCACAAATTAAAACGATGTCTTATTATCTCCTATGGACACAAAGGGAACAAGACTGAAGCAGGAAGAACATTTTGTGAATATGAACCTCTCAATAACACAGTTCTTTCAACAAGGGGTCCCATACTGACCCTTAACATTGCAGTGTATTCCAGTGTAATTGTCTTTCCAGCACAGTGTTTAGTAGTGTAGCAGACAAGACTCTCATCTTAGGGATGCAAAATCTAGCTCTGTTACTTACCCTCAGTGTGATCCTACACAACTACATTAATCTCTCTCTACCTCACTATCCTCATCTATAACTGAAAATAATAATCTCTACATATTAGGACTGGGCTGAGAATTAACATTTAACATAAGAATACATATAAAATATTTTGTGCTTATGTTTCATACAATATGCTATCAAAAACTGTATAATCATACATTGGAGAATCAGCACAAGCTTGGCTTTGTACTTTGAATGTGAAGGCCAACCATTACCCAGCTTTCTATAAACTTTTATTTTTATCTCTGAACGCATTATTTGTAGATTTCACATTTAATTCCTTTCTGACCTGCCCACATTTAGTCATTTTCTTCTTTGATAATCTTATCGGTGTAGGATAGTTGATTATGATGCTGTACTTATGCAATGGTTCCTACTTCTTAAAATGGTTCCTGCAAATCTTCTTTTTTCTCCTTCACACATCTCTGCAGAGTAAAAACAAAAAAAGCTAGGCAGGCAATCAGTACCCCACGATAGGTGCTGGATAAATGACCGAACAGATTCTGATTTTCCAGATAAGAAAACCGTATCACAGGGAAATAAAGCAACTTGCCAAGGACACATGCATCCAATGTCTAAAAGTATTATTAGAAAGTTGAAACCTACAAGTGATGCAGTTCTGTAGTAAGTTTATCTGACATAGTGTATGCTTCCTAATAGTTCATGTTCTGAGAAACATAGAGGTATGACTCAGATCCCTTCAAAGAATCTGGTATCATTTTCCAAAATTGACTGCCTTTTCCAGTCCTCAATTTTGCAGATGAGTACCCTGTAATCTGAGATGTAGGACTAAACATAAACTGAACAGTAAGCAAAATGCCTGTTTCTAGCCCTTGGTAAGAAGAATTGTTTGTTAAATTGCTGTCAATTTCTCATTGTTTTAGTCTATAACAGTTTACCTTTTCTTTTTTTGTACTATAGTTTTAGAAAACCTCTTTTCTTGGAGCTTATGTTTCAAGAGTGAATTCAGAGTTTGAACTCTACTGTTTGGCGTCTGGAATGTTCTTCAGTGATCAAACTTACCATATTTCAATAGAAGGAGTAACAGCAATGTTTGAGAGGTTAGTAACACCGTCTTCAAGAAAGTAACTATTGGACTTACCAAAGTATCGTGTGGTGATAGTGATCTTATCAAGTGTTTTCTAGATTGTGAGATTTTTAAGTCAGAGTGAACTGAAAAATCCATATCTTCATGTTTCTTTCATTTGAGTGCCAAGGTCGAGGGGATTGCTAAGATCCAAACTAACAGGGGTGTGTTTTCACTCTGTGCTGTCATGGTATTGGTTTGGAAGAAAGATGAAACTGTGATGCTTTATGAGGGATCACTAATCTCTAGGCAGTCTAGATGAGAAGCAGATCTACTCTAGTGATGGTTAAAAATGCCTAATTCTTGATGTGTATTCCACTGGCCAACCAGCTGTTAAATATTTTGCACATACTAGGAGTGGTAGCCTGGCTCTTCACTGCCTACTTTGGGAAAGCCACTCACTGACTCTGGGCCCCTGTTTCTTTTCTGCAATCTAGTAGTAAGAACAGTTGGCTTGAATATATGCAAAGGGTATTTGGAAAGTTCATGGAAATCACATATTATATAGAAAGTGTATATGGATTTCAATTATTTGCAACAAATAACCTTATCTTTTGATTCCATTTTACATGAACTTTTTGGAATTCCCTTATACATTCCCTGTCCCTTTATTGGCCTTCTCTCCTTCCACAGATCCCTGTCAGATGATGATGAGAATTTGTGCTTATCTTGTATTTAATTCTCCTTTTAATTTCTCTTGAAATTCATTTCTACCATATTTTTTGTAAGGTAAAAGAAATTCATGCACTAGTATCAGTGGGAAATGTGCAAGCATCTGCCCACAACACTACATATTAAACTAGAAGGACCTGGTAGGCAACCTCCAGCTACTAACCTGAGCTTTAAAAGTTCAGTATAACCACAATTTCACATATTCAGTCTACCCAGTGGCTTTCATCTTGAAGTAATGTATTTTCTCTTTAATTTAAAAAGGTAACAAAGCTAAACATTGTTAATGATTCTTGGTAAATAAGTTTTCTGAAGTTTTGGGTTGAAAATTGATATACTTTACAATTTCTTGACATCATTATTAACTTGTCCATGTGATATTGCAGTTAACTAAAGGATGAAATAGAGAAGTAATTTTCTGACTGGTGTGTAGAGGTTATTATGCACAGGAGAGTGACCAGTGATTCTGGGCAGGAAGAGAAAGAAAATGTTCAGCAGGTCCCTTGTGAAGTATTTATCAGAAGGGATTCACTATGGAGTTCTCTACCCCTTTCTGAAGACCTTTTACACTAAGATAAATAGCCATCTATCCAGGGGACAATAGAGTTCCAAATGGTTTCTATTGGAGAAAGCTGGATTAACATAAAACCAAGAGATCATTTCTTTTAGCTTTTCTCCATCAAGTCTGTATTCCTCTATTGCATTGTGAATTAATCTGTCTAAGTAATAACAAAAACTACTGTTAATTTCAATAAATAAGAAACAAATCGCTTTTTTTTCCGAGCCGATAGCGTTCCGGCAACATGGTGAACGTTCCGAAAACCCGCCGGACCTTCTGTAAGAAGTGTGGCAAGCACCAGCCCCACAAGGTGACACAGTATAAGAAGGGCAAAGACTCTCTCTATGCCCAGGGAAAGCGGCGTTATGATAGGAAGCAGAGTGGCTATGGGGGACAGACTAAGCCGATTTTCCGGAAAAAGGCTAAAACTACAAAGAAGATTGTGCTGAGGCTTGAGTGTGTGGAGCCCAACTGCAGATCCAAGAGAATGTTGGCTATTAAGAGATGTAAACACTTTGAATTGGGAGGAGATAAGAAGAGAAAGGGGCAAGTGATCCAGTTCTAATCTTCGTCTTCTGTTTTGCTATGAAGACAATAAAATCTAAAGGTTACCACTGTTCAGTTCATTTGGTCTTTTGGAAGGGAATGAACCAAAGCCATCAATAAAACTCCTCTTGGAAAATTAAAAAAAAAAAAAAAAAAGAAACAAATCAACTTAGAAAACAAGTCAGTTTGAGGTTTGGATGGCATTACTCATTTGTTATTTAATTTCAAAAATAATAGAAAAATGTAACTTTATTTAGACCCTAAACTAATCATTGTCTTGGTTCTAATTTATTTCTATGTATCTGAAAGATATAAAGAGGTTGAGACAGAGAGAAAGTTCTTCTATCTGCTGGTTCTCTCCCCAGTGCTTGTAATAGCCAGGGTTGGGCCAGGCTGATGCCAGGAACTGGAAACTCAATACAGGTCTCTCCTGTGGGTTACCGGAACCTAAGTACCTGAGCTACTATCTGCTGCCTCCCAGGATGCACATCATCAGGGAGCTGGACTCAGTAGCAGAGCCAGCACGTAAACACAGGTACTCTGATGTGGGATGTGGAATCTTAACTACTGTGCCAAACACCTGCCACTGACTTTCTTTTCTGAATATCAGTTTCTCTACTGGGATGCCATTTTCCTATACAGATCATTTTTCTTTATTTGCTGCATGCCATGTACTTTGTAAAAGATTTGATCTTCCCGATTTCCAGGCAGAACTCCAGCTAGCTCATGACACCATGCTCTGATTTTCCTCAGTGATCTGAAGTTCCAGAACTATTGCAACTGTGATGACTTCATGAGCATTTTCATCTTGCTGCAGCCATCCCATCATTTTGTTCTCTTTGATAAATCATAGCAGCTATGAGAATGTGCTGCATGCTCAGCAATGTATCATTATGTTTGGAGAAGCACATCTTTGCCAACACTGACTTTCAAGGCGCAAGGATCAACACCTGTGAAAGAATCGCTCCACCGCCATCAAACATGAACATACTTGAATATCAGTGTCGTTACAGCACTTCCTCTGGTTTATGAATGGGACTGATTATTTTTCCAGACAGTTCATAGCATCTGCTAGTGCCTAAAACTCTCACTGATTTCAGGATTGCACTTTTGGTTATGTAATATGTACTCTGAATACACCAGGCTACTTTCCAGTTTACTTCCAGATACAATTTTTTTTTAAATTTATTTGACAGGTAGAGATATAGAGATAGTGAGAGAGAGATACAGAGAGAAAGGTCTTCCTTCCATTGGTTCACTCCCCAAATGGCTGCTACAGCCGGCGCTGTGCCAATCCGAAGCCAGGAGCCAGGTGCTTCTTCCTGGTCTCCTATGCAGGTGCAGGGGCCTAAGCACTTGGGCCATCCTCCACTGTCTTCCTGGGCCACAGCAGAGAGCTGGACTGGAAGAGGAGAAACCGGGACTAGAACCCGGCGCCCATATGGGATGCCAGCACCACAGGCAGAGGATTAACCAAGTAAGCTACAGTGCCGACCCCTCCAGATGCAATTTTAAGGTCTGAGGTTAATCAGTAAGAGCACAGGGGATCTGGAGTTTGGCGATCCTAAAGAAAGACAGCCTCCATCTCTACATATCTTCATGATGGTTTACGTAGATCAGTGGGTACTGTATTTTACCTCCTGCAAACTGGCAATTCCTAACCAATTAACTTCAACTATGGAACTGGCTCCTGCCATTGGTTTGACGAAGTCATATCTACTGTTTTAAGTCTATGACCCTGAGCATACTGAGATCATTACAGGGGAGGGAGGGAGATGTTTTCTGTATATTACAGTAGAGGCTCCTTACTGTAAAAATCCTTATTGTTAACTGAATTTTTTAAAGACAAACCAATAAACCAATTGGTCATACAACTCTAATTATCCTGAAAGTGATGGAAAACAGTAATAGCTATTGTCAGAAATTAAAAGAATGACTGGTGTCAGTAAACATTTGCTAGAATACAATTAATGCAGATGAGGGTGTGCTTTCTTTCCAGTGCTCTAAATCAGACGAAATTAGCATTTGAAGATATTTCCTGTTTGGTTAAGTAACTCGCAGGATATGAGAAACACTTAAAATTTGAAATTATTTTAAATAAATGGATGCTTTTTCTGTCTAAGGTTCATTTAAGATTTCTAAAATTAGTTTCAGTCCTGTACAACTTTAATACAGATCGGGTGTTTTAAAATATTTATGATAAAGAAAATGATTCCATCTGGGTAGGGAATTTTTATTACTAGAATATCATACCAATTTGAATTAAAGCCACTGTGAGATTAATTTCTTCTCTGCTGTTGGAATATAAATGTGTTCTGACAGCTGCTTTCTGTAACTGAAGTATACTTATTTGCATGCAATAGCTTCTACTCAATGAAATAATATATATCAGAGAAACTTTGAATGGTTTAAGCAACAAACAAAGATTGATTATCAATGCAAATGCCAACCAGGGATTTATTATAAATAACAAAATATTGGCAAGTCCATGGTCTGAAGTCAACACTGGTTATTTACAGCTTTTATAAAGACAATTGAGAATTTCAGAAGAACTTTCTGATGTTAAAAAAATTAAAGAATTACACAAAGGGAAAAGATGGCCTTGGTCCAACACGTTTTTCAGATTTATTAATGATGAATACATCAGGCACTCTTTATTGGATTATATTCCCTTTTACCATGGCTAAAAGCTGACAGGATGAGTATTATTACAGTAATATGTCATGAGGGATGTGTACTGATACAAACATTTGTGTAATACAATTGGAGTCTGAGTAGGTGCCGTTATCTACAATAGTTTAGGCATCCATGATGAAAGGAAAAGATTTCAATGTAAGAAGCTACATTTGGACAAGATCATAGTCAAAGTGGAAGTTCTCTCCTCCCTTCAGAGAAAGGTATCTCCTTCTTTGATGGCCTGTTCTTTCCACTGGGATCTCACTTGCAGAGATCTTTCATTTAGGGTTTTTTTTTTTTTTTTCCAGAGTGTCTTGGCTTTCCATGCCTAAAATACTCTCACAGGCTCTTCAGCCAGATCTGAATGCCTTAGGGGCTAATTCTGAGGCCAGAGTGCTGTTTAGGACATCTTCCATTCTATGAGTCTACTGTGTATCCCGCTTCCCAGCTTCCCATGTTGGATCATTCTCTCCTTCTTAATTCTATCAGTTAGTATTAGCAGGCACTAGTCTTGTTTATGTGATCTCTTTGACTCTTAGACCGATCATTATGATCAATTGTGAACTGAAATTGATCACTTGGACTAGTGAGAAAGCCATTGTATTCCATAAACTGTACTTTGGAAATTTATATTTATTAAATAAAAGTTAAAAAAAAGAAACTACATTTGTCATGCTTTCTACAGGAACAATCCCATCTAATTAAGAAGAGACAATAACAAAAGGTATGGAAGTCACCAGATTTTTTTAAGACTTTTTTAGCAATAAAGTTACAGTCAGAGAGAAGGCAAGATAGAGAGAAAGGTCTTCCATCTATTAGTTTACTCCCCAAATGTCCACAATGGCCATGGCTGGGCCAGGCCAAAGCCAGGAGCTTCATCTGCATCTCCCACTTGGGTGCAGAGGACCAAGCACTTAGGCCATCTTCTACTGCTTTCCCTGGCCATAGAAGAGAGCTGGAATGAAAGAGAAGCAGTCAGGACATGAACTAGCACTCATATGGGATGCTGACATTTCAGGTCTAGGCTTAGCCTAGTATGCCACAGTACCAGTTCCACCAGCTTTAAGATAACTAAAAGAACCAGCTGCCCTTTAAAAGAGAATAAAGATGACATCATTAAAATCAAGACTTGTGGGGCCTGTGCTGTGGCACAACTGGTAAAGCCACCATCTGTCCTGCTGGCATCCCATATGGGCTCTGTTTCAAGTCCCGGCTGCTCCACTTCCAATCTAACTCTCTGCTATGGCCTGGGAAAGCAGTAGAAGATGGCCCAAGTCTTTGGGACCCTGAACCTGCATGGGAGATCTGGAAGAAACTCCTGGCTTATGGCTTCAGATTGGCACAGCTCCAGCTGTTGCAGCCAACTGGGGAGTGAACCAGTGGATGGAAGACTCTCTCTTTCTGCCTCTCCTTTTCTTTCTGAATAACTCTGACTTTCAAATAAATGAATAAATCTTTTTTAAAAAATCAAGACTTGTTCAGAATAAATATTATTTATAAATAAAATGTCACCAAATCAAATTCCCATTTTAGACTTTAGTTTTCAAAAATTATACTTTCTGATTTTTCCTTCCTAAGAATTTTACAATTAGCTGAATGTAACTTTAGTGGCCTTATTTTTTATTTTTTAAAAAAGATTTATTTGTTTGTTTGAAAGCAAAGTGACATGGATAGATGGGAGGAGAGAGGGATGAGGAGAGAGGGAATGAGAAAAAGAGAGAGAAGGATGTCGTCCACTCATTGATGCACCCCCCAAAGGCATGCAAGAGCTGAAGCCAGGAGCCAGGAACTCCTCTGGATCTCCTACATGAGTTGCAGAAATCCAAGGTCTTCAGCCATCAACCACTGCTTCTCAGGCTCATTAACAGGAGCTGGATTGGAAGTAGAGTAGCCCAGATTTGAACTAAGCACTCGAACAGAATGCAGGCATTCCAAGCAGTGTCTTAACTCACTGTACCACCACACGTGCACCTGCTCTTCTGTTCTAAGCAGATTGATCCTGACAGAAGATATCATGGCAGCACTGGAGAGAACACAGATTCCGCAGAGTTTAGATGTTATTAATAATGATTGTTTTTGAGCCTATGTGTAAGTTTAAGAAAGGAAGGAAGAGGAGGAAGGGAAGAAAGGAAAGAACTGAAAGAGATTATTTTTTAAAGGTTTATTTATTTATTTGAAAGGCAGAGTTACAGAGAGGCAGAGGCAGAGAGAGAGAGAGAGAGAGAGAGAGAGAGGTGTCTTCCATCCAATGGTTCACTCCCCAGATGGCAACTATGGCTGGAGCTGCACTGATTCTTCTACTGGTTTTCCAGGCCATAGCAGAGAGCTTAATGGGATGTGGAGCAGCGAGACTCGAACCAATGCCCATATGAGATGTTGTCACTGCAGGTGGCGGCTTTACCCACTACGCCACAGTGCCGGCCCCTGAAGGAGATTATTTCTATGTGTATTCAGATTACACGTTGATTTGTGTTAAATTAACAGTAAAAGTGAAAAATACCAAACCATTTTCAGACAAAAGGAAACAATTATTACCGTAAATATTTTTGCTGAAATTCCCTGTAGCAAAAATCTCTAATTCTTATTCTTAAGTGAGGACATAAGTAATTTTATAAACTACCAAATAAAAGTCATGAGTGGCAAAATAGCATGATAATTCAGCAAAGAGGAAAGAGAACTGTATTAGTAGGTTTTGTTGAAGTCTGGGATACTGTAGAATCACATTGAACTGCTACAATACAGACACTGTCATTATTCATCGTCAATATTTGCCACACAAACGGCATTTCTGAGGCATTCTTGGGAGGAAAAAAGGAGGAAGTTATATTAAAATATTTAATCATTGCCTGCATTTCTGTCAAGAATATGGAGATAAATATGAAATTATCACTCAGAGGTTTTTTTCCTTTTTAATAAAAAATCAGATGTTCTTGGACACTTTGCTGACTGAGTGGAGGTAGAAAAATAATATTTAGTGTTGACTGATACATTTTTTGCTGGGGCTGGCATTGTGGCATAGTGGGTTAAGCCATGACCTTCAACCAAATATCCCATATGAGCACTGGTTGGAGTCCCAGCTGCTCTGCTTCTGACCAACTCTCTGCTAGTACACTTGGGAAATGTCCTAAGAGCTTGGGCCCCTGCCACCCATGTGGGAGTCCCAAATGGAGTTCCTGGAATCTGGCTTCAGCCTTGTTGAGCCCTAACCATTGGGGCCATTTGGGGATGGAAGAGCCTCTCTCTCTTTCAGATAAATAAAAATAAATCCTTAAAATCAAACACAAATATTTTTTCTTATTTTCCTTCTTCCAATTTTTCAAATCTTTTTTAAGACTTTTTTATTTGAAAGGCAGAGTTAAAGAATGAAGGAGAGACAAAGAAGAGAGAGGTGTCTTCCATCTGATGGTTCACTCCCCAGATGGAAACAGTTATCTTCCATCCACAATTTCACTCCCCAAATGGCCACAATGGCCAGGGCTGGACCAGACCAAAGCCAGGAGCCAGGAGCCAAGAGCTTAATCTGGATCTCCCATGTGTTTTCAAGAACCCAAGAATTTGAGGCATTCCCCCAGGTGCATTAGCAGAGAGCTTGATTGAAAGTGGAGTAGCTGGAACAGGAACTGGTGCCCATTTGGGATATCCATGTTTCAGGTGGCAGTTTAACCTGTGCCATGGTGCTAGCCCCTCATTTTCAATTCTTAACACTTAAGTTCAAGTGGATCATAAATGGCTTTCTGTAATATGCAACTTACCCAAGCAAGATCACAGCATTGATACTACATCCCCAAAGGGCTCTGTCAAGCTCTTGCATCTGTTCTGGACACCATAACACTGGATGGAGCAGTTGTTTGAGGTTCAATTGAGTCAGCTACTAGCAATTACAGTGTTTAATTTCAGACTCATAAAGAGAAGGGAAAGCATGAGAACCATGGGACACCCACAGTAAAATGAGAAACGCTAATAATTCACAAATGTAAACAAGGTATTGGAATGCACTTCAATAAGCTCGTTCAATTACAAATGACAGGTGGTGTTCCATAAACTAACATGTAGAGCTACAAGAGCCTAAGATTGTACCCTAGTCATGCCATCACCACCTTATGAATCTATCTGTTATGAACGTTCTTGTTTCTCTAAATTTGTATCTGTATTGTAACATATATCTTGATTCTTTTCCAACTGTATGGACCTCTTTGGAAATGCTATTTTTTGACAGAGTTAGACAGTGAGAGAGAGAGAGAGACAGAGAGAAAGGTCTTCCTTCCACTGGTTCACCCCCAAAATGGCCACTACAGCTGTTGTACTGCGCCAATCCGAAGCCAGGAGCCAGGTTCCTCCTCCTGGTCTCCCATGTGGGTGCAGGGCCCAAGCACATGGGCCATCCTCCACTGCCCTCCCGGGCCACAGCAGAGAGCTGCACTGCAAGAGGAGCAACTGGGACAGAATCTGGCACCCCAGCTGGGACTAGAACCTGGGGTGCCAGCGCTGCAGGTGGAGGATTAGCCTAGTGAGCCGCAGCACCGGCCTGGAAATGCTATTTTTTTTTATTTAATTTTATTTATTTAAAAGAGTAAGAGGGAGAGAGAGAGAAAGAGGTTTTCCTTCTGTTTGTTCACTCTCCAAATGGCCACAATGTCTAGGGCTGAGTCAGTCCAAATCTGGAAGCCAAGAGCTTCATCTGGGTCCCCTTGGTGGGAACAGGGGCCCAAGAATTTGAACCTTCTTGCACTGCTTTCCCTGGCGCATTAGCAGAGAGCAGGATCGGAACTGGAACAAACGGGTCACAAACCAGCACCCATATGAGATGCCGGCATCATAGGTGGAAGCTTACCCTGCTATGCCACAACACCAGCCCCTGGAAATCCTATTTTGAATAGCTGCATTATCAATTATCACATGGAAGGATTATATTATGATTTCATTAGCCACTACTCACACTTATTCCTTCAACAAGTAATTATAGATTGTCTTTCATGTGCTGAGTGTGACTTTTGGTTCTCACCCCCAAGGAGCTCAAAATCAACTGAGACAGACAAAGGAAGGGTTTAGGAAGAGGAGAGCACAGACAGGCTTGTGTAGGAGGAAGATGAGAAGACAGTGGTGCCCTACATCTGGCCATCCCTCCTCCTTTCTGTTTCATTCAAGGCAGTGAACTGAATGGAGAGAAACCTAGAGACTTAGGAGACAGACTTCCCGATGGTCAGATCCACTTCACATTTTACTTTCAACTGATAAAATCAGTCTATAAACTTGATGTATGTTCTGTCTTTTCTGTTTCTCAAGAATCATAACTTTTAGATTTTGATTATTTTGTTAAGGAAAGTCATCTCTTTTTCTTTTAAGAGATTTATTTATTTATTTAAAAGTCAGCATTACAGAAAGAGAGGGAAAGAAAAAGAGAGAGAGAGAGGGAGTGGGGGAGAGAGAGAGAATCTTCTATGTGTGCTGATTTACTCCCCAGAAGCTCACAACGTCCAGTGCTGGGCAAGGTCAAAGCCAGGAGCCAGGAGCTTCTTCAGGTTTCCTTGGAGGACAGCAGGGGCCCAAGCACTTGGGCCATCTTCTGCTGCTTTTCCCAAGCCATTAGCTAGGAACCGGATTGGAAGTGGAGCAGCCTCCACACAAACCAACATCCATATAGTGGCTTCTACCTGCTATAACACAACGCTGATCTGGGAAAGTCATCTTTCTTATAAATTTTTACCATTATTATGATACTTATTGTTAATACTCATGACTCCCTATTTAAAAATATTTTTGGATAAAATACGTAAATGTAATTTTGAAATAAAAGACAGTACTTAGGGAGTTAT